TGCTGGGCTCATCTTCCTGGAGGCCAGTGGGCTGAATCCACCCAACTGCGATGTGTTCAGAGGACTTTTCCCACCCACCAATTCCTCAAGGATTCTATTTTAAGGAAGGCCTTGAATTCTTTAAGTCGCTTTTTTAAAACAAAATCTTAGCCCGTCCTGATGTAAATGGCACAGTTAGGCCTGGTACAAAACGCTGGCGAGAAGGTTTCACCTTCTTATCGCCTTGCGACTGGGCTGCTGCATCCTCCTGTAAGATGGGGCTGCTCTTGAAGATGAACCCAGATGCTACAACTGGTACAAACACGGGTAGACCTCGACTTACGACCACAATTGAGCCCCAAATGTCCGTTGCTGAGCGAGACAGCTCTTTGCCCCATTTTGCAACTTTTCTTGCCCCAGTTGTTAAGTGAATCACTGCAGTTAAGTTAGTCACATGGTTGTTCAGTGAATCTGGATTTCCCCGTTGACTTTGCTTGTCAGAAGGTCGCAAAAGGGGATCACTTGACCCCGGGACACTGCAACCATCATAAATATGATCATTTGCCAAGCGTCTCAATTTTGATCAGGTGACCATGGGGATACTGCAAAGGTCGTAAGTGTGAAAAACAGCCATAGGTCACTTTTTTCAGTGCTGTTGTAACTTCAGTCACTAAACAAATGGTTGTAAGTTGAGACTACCTCTAGGATGGCTACACAATCTACAACCATTGAATTGTAGAGCCATGGTGGCACGGTGGTCAGAGTGCGGTACTGCAGGCTACTTTTGCTGCCTGCCAGCTGCCTGCAATTTGGAACTTCAAATCGCACCAGGCTCAAGATTGACTCAGCCTTCCATCCTCCTGAGGTTGATAAAATGAGGACTCAGATTGTTGGGGGCCAAGAGGCTGACTGTAAACTGCTTAGAGAGGGATGGAAAGCACTGTGAAGCAGCATATAAATCTAAGGGCTATTGCTATTTTCCTTCCTTCCTTCCTTCCTTCCTTCCTTCCTTCTTTCTTTCCGACTCTGTAAACCCCTTAGAGAGGGTTGTAAATCACTGTAAAGCAGTACAGAAGTCCTAAGTGCTATTGCTGTTGTTGCCAGAAGGCTCCTGGGCCCAATTCCAAGTGTTGCCTATTATTGGGGGTCGCTGGCAGCAGGTTCAGATGGCTGAGGTGTCAGGAGAGCGAGGACTCAGACGAGGGGCCTGCGTGTGATGGGGCCAGGACCATCAGGGAGTGGAGTGCTGCCTCCGGAGATTGTGGAGGCTGGCAGCAGTAATGAAGAGAGCCCCGAGGAGCCTGTGCCCAATGCGTGCAGGGCTGCTCGAAGGAAAGAGCAGCTGCAGCAGCACGGGTGACTCGGGAGTAAGGCTGCAAGGTGATGGCCCCTCCCTTAAGGGATAAAAGCCAGCTGAGAAACCGGAGTTCTTTGCAGGAAGCAAAGAAGTTTTTCCACTCAAGCCTGGTGGACGTTCGGAATATCTTGGTTGGTGTTTGGAGACTCTTTGTGTTTGAAATATTTCTTAGTAACATTATCTAGTGTTCTTGACAGCCTTGCACCACCTTGGCAAGGCTTGTTCTTATCAGAGACAATTAGTTTGAAACAGCCTTTTAGCCGTGAAGGAATGGAATTCGTAAAGAATCATTAAAAGGTTTTGCCATTACCTCTGTTTCGTGTTTGTTTCCTTGGAACAAGGTTTGGGTCAGAACACCTATTGCCTCTGAAGCCCTCCAGGGTGGGGCAACCTCAGCCCACCCCCCCTTGCCTCAAATAATTCAACCTGATCTGTTTGATAATCAAGGGAGGCTGTTCATTAAGGTCCTATTTCCTTGTGAACTACAGGCCCTGGGGAATATATTCTTGGAGATATGCTCATTCCTGACTTTCAGGTAATCTCTTAAAGCTGGTTTTAAGTGAAAGAGGTGTGATTCTATTTGATGAAGGTATTCCTTACTTCACATTCATTTGGCGACAGTTCAAAGGGACAATGGCATTGAAAAAGGTGACTTACGACCGGTCGTCACTCTTGGGATGGTTGCAGCATCCCCACAGCCATGTGATCAAAATTTACGTGCTTGGCAACCAGTTGGTATTTATGATGGTTGCACAGGTGTCATGTGATCGCCATTTGTGACTTTTCAAGCAAAATCAACAAAGGACGTTGAATTTACTTAATGACCACATTTTTCATACAAACATAGAGTTGGAAAGGACCTTGGGGGTCTTCTAATCTTCCAATCCAGGAGTCCCCAAACTTGGCAACTTAAAAGTTGCCAAGTTTGGAGGCCTCTGTTCTAATCCATCCCTCTATTCAAGCAGTGGACCCTATATTTTTTCAGACAAGTGACTGTCCAGCCTCTTCTTAAAAGCCTCCAGTGATGGAGCACCCGCAACTTCTGGTGGCAAGCAGTTCCACTGGTTAATTGTTCTCACTGTCAGGAAATTCCTCCTTAGTTCTAGGTTGCTTCTCTCCTTGATGAGTTTCCATCCATTGCTTCTTGTCCTGCCTTCAGGTGCTTTGGAAAATTCACTTAACAACTGCAGTGATTTGCTTAATAAACATGTTTTTTTTAAAAAAAGGTAAAATCAGATGTGACTCATTTAACAACCAACCTTGCTTAGCAAAGGAAGTCCTGGCCCTAACTGTGGTTGTAAGTCAAGGACTACTTGTATTCTTATATTGTGAGAGATTGTTGGTTTGTGTAATTCTTCTGTCATTTATTTGGGCAGTGCGGAAATCTTGTCAATAAATAAACCTTCGCCTACTTTTTTTAGTGCCTTCTCCAATGCAATCTTTGCAGTGGTGGGATTCCATTTTTTTACTACTGGTTCTGTGGGCGTGGCTTGGTGGGCGTGGCTTGTCCTGGTGGGCGTGGCTTGGTGGGCATGGCAGAGGGAGGATACTGTAAAATCTCCATTCTCTCCCCACCCCACTAACCTGCTTTCCAGCTCCGTTCTCCTGGGCAGGGCAACCAAAGGAGACCCAGCCAATCAGCTGGGACACAGGAGGCGGAGCGTAGATGGGGGCGGAGCCAATCAGAGGTGGTATTTGCCAGTTCTCTGAACTACTCAAAATTTGCGCTACTGATTCTCCAGAACCGGTCAGAACCTGCTGATACCACCTCTGAATCTTTGGCACCATCTGTGGGTCTATTAAAAGTATTAGAAGCCATTAGAAATATGAGACCAGGAAGCCACTGGAGGCCACCTGGGCCTTGTACAAGTAGTCCTTGACTTACAACAGTTCATTTGGTGACTGTTCAAAGTTACAACGGAAGGGAAAAAAGTGAGTTGGGATCATTTTTCACACTTACAACCATTGCGGCTTCCCCAACAGATCAAAATCCAGATGCTTGGCAGCTGCCTCCCATTTATGACGGCTGCAGTGTTCCGGAGACATGTGAATCCCTTTTGCGACCTTCTGACAAGCAAAGTCAACGAGGAAATCCAGATCCACTTAACTACTTTGTTACTAACTGAACTGCTGCTTAACTTAACTTACTTAGCAACTGGGGCAAAGAAAGGTCGTACAATGAGGCAAAATGCACTTAACGAATGTTTCGCTTAGCAACAGGAATTTTGGGCTCAGCTGTGGTCATAAGTCAAGGAGCAACTCTACTCGTTTCTAGAAGAACTGAATGGTTTTCAGTACCATCCCCGTTCACACCTGTCAGTCCTACTTAGGTGGCTAAATTCGTGGGTACCGTGTGTCCTGTTCTGGGTTCTGCCCCAGCATGGAAAGCAGGATGCTGTGTAGTTTTAGCTGCCTGCCTACACATTAAATGATGCAGGATGTGGAATATGGGCAGCATTGCCAAAGGTTCGGCGGGCTGATGTTATTCCACCTGCCACGATTTTGAACACAGAACAGCGGCCAGTCTGACGCTCCACGCTCTCTTTTGCTCTTCCTGATCCACGATGCACACCCCCATGCCCCAAAACAGTTTGCTTAAGTGGCATTGGTGGGAGACTTGTTTCCTCTGTTCTTCCTTTCTCCGTTTGAAGAGGATTAAGGAAAGCACCACCTTGGCATCCTCTCCAAAGCAGGAATGAAAGACTTACAAAGATAAGAGGAGCACGAGGTGGCCTGAAGTGTTGAACAGAACGTTTTTGGTTTTTTTTTTACAAAAATGTTAATTCGGTGGGATGTGCCTCAATTCTCTCTCAGACCCTTCCCTAGTAAAAAACACTGGATTTTCCACTGGAATTTCACAGCAAACTGTGAGGTGCCCGTTGTGATACAATTTCCCGCTGTGGCAAAGGTGTGTCAGGGCTTAAAAAACCTTCTAAAAAGATCTCCAAAATAATTAATAATCAAAATTAGCAATCAAAATTAATTCTGTCTAATTTTATGAGAATCAAGGTTTCACTGCTTTTAAGCCTATGGTGGCTGTTAATAATGATTGCGGGGGGGGGGGAAGCTACCCCTGTTTTGGCTGCAGAAAGGCTACTCTGCCCTATTACTAATGCAAAGCGAACCCCTAAATTAGTTCTTTTCCCTGCCGGAATAAACCAAGCCTGTCTGGGCCCACCGCTTGAGTTCCACCCAGGGTATGACCCCCTCCCCCCCCAAAAAAAGACCAATGGTACGAGTCCTATAAATGCCCTAAGGCAGTGTTTCTCAAGCCTGGCAA